CCCCCCCAGTCTCGGCGTAGGATGAGACTTGAGAGCCATCAGTCAGTCTTTTTGACGAGAGCCATGTTATGACTTGTATCCCCCCCTCCCCCCTCGTCCTTATCACTCTGTACTTCCAGCAACATGCCCCTCCCTCCATGTCTCCCTATCTCTCTCCCTAAGCATGTCTTTGACGCAGGAGGAGATGAATGGACCATGACGAACGCAGGAGGCTAGAAAGCACATCCACGGCAGCTCCGAGGACCGCGCCAGCCAGTCGATGAACCCAAAGAAGGCATCGTCGAGATCCTGCTGGGTGAACGACAGCTGGGTGAGGTCAAACGCCAGCCGGCGCTCCATAAGCCATATCCAGGACATGAGCCGCCAGAGCCATAACGCATCCATGGATGGATGGATGGAACCGCAGATCCTCAGTGCAACTGCAGTTACCTAACGTCCGGACAAACTCAGATACGTCGCTTCAACTGCACCTGCAGGAGACTGAGGGTCCCGCGGGAGCCCCCACGAGCTCGCAGAAGCCGTCCGGCCAAAGAACGTCTTTTGTTGGTGTAGCTTGGCGCAAAAAGGGGGGACACTCGGCCGAAAAGATGGACAGGATGGAGAGAAAAGAGCTCCGAGAGTTCACCAGTCTCAGGAAGGGATGAGACGGCGCGTGTCGATTTTGCCTGCGGGCGCTGCGCAGGCGAGAAGGGATGAGGAGTATGAGGAGGATAGGCGGAGGAAGAGAAAGACCAAGGCGCTCAGCAAATCGCTCATCATCGACGCACTCAAAGACTTCGCCACGCAGGCAGGCAACGAACTCGATAGATGCAGAGCACAAGACGACAGGGGCTGCGTGTGTTGATTGGTGTGTTCATTGCAACAGGAGAAGTTCAAGCTGGTGAATCCCTTTGAGAAGGTCACTGATCCCTTCAGGGAGCAGAAACAGAAACAGATCCGGGCATTCGGCGACTACTCTTTCTGGAAGTACTACGAGAAGATTGACGTGTCGAGGATATACGATGGCGTAAGAGCCACAAACACACTGCCAACACTCGCCACGACACTCTCTTTTGCCCTCCAGAAATCAGCTGAGTACCAGAACCTCAAGCTCATGTTCTGGGAGACCGTCTTCTTCATCTTGTGGCTGAGCATCTTCACGGCTCTCGTCATCACGTCGACATCACAGCTGCAATACGGCTGCCGAGCAGCGCAGGTCAGCCAAAACCCAACCAACTGCCGATGGCTTTCTTCTGCACTGCACTGTGTGCCTTCTGCAGCTCTCGTATTGGTCTGACTGCCGGCTGTCTCTGCCTGAGCGCCAGGATTGCGCGGTTGACAACATCAAGGACATCAGCAGCTTCTGGTCCTGGCTGACGAACGACTTCACCGACCTCGCGTGGCCTTTCGAGTACGCCGTCCATCTGCCCCCTGATGCATTCGGCCGCTCGAGCACTTACCAGCTCAACGAGCTCTCGAAGCCCTTCTCAATGAGGTGACCATCTCACTTCATCTGCCATCCTCAATCGGAAACATGCATCAATCCGTTTCTGGATCAGGGTCCTGGACGACAGGGGTATATTCTTTCTCTTGGGTGCCATTCGCGTCCGTCAGCTTCGTGTGCGGCCGAACGCAGGCTGCAAAGTGAGCAACGGCTTCCGGCATGCATTCCCCCAGTGCTACGGTGAGAAACTGCAACTCACTTTCCTCACCTGAAAGTGTGTCTCTCGCGCAGCTTTGTGGAGATCGAGCACTGAGTCCAAACGCTACTTTGCCAAAAGGTGAGCGCTGGATGGGCACAGCCCTGTCGCCATGTCTGCCTGCCTTGTTAGGTGGACGCCGACCTACACACTGCCGGCTTACCGATATCGCACACCTAAATGTAGGTCATCGCCGGATACAGGGCGTGTCCCTACACATTTTGCTGGTGTGTGTAGACACGAAACAAAGCCGTACACGTGGGCAGTATTCCACATACGGTGCCGGGGGCTTTCTCTTTGACCTGCCACCCAAGTAAGGATGAAAGCAGAGTACTGCATCCACTGTTGACATTTGTTTTGCCTTAGCAAGACTGACGGTGTGATCCTCCTGCAAGACCTGAGGGAATGGGCATACCTCGACGAACAGACGCGGTATAGGCAGAGGAGATGCAGACAGGCTATTGAAGACGCACCACCGCTTGTTTCCTGTGTCTCATTGTCGGCAGTGCCGTGATAATTGAGCTGAATGTGGTCAACCCTCACGTCAACATTATTGTCAACACCCGTCTGCTCTTCGAGCTTGCCCCCACCGGAGAAATCGTGGCAAAGTAAAACACGTGCATGTTTGACGTGCTCACCTGGGTCTGTGTCTCAGACAGGAGGCGCACGCACTGCCCGTCTTCTTTCTCGCACTCCACGCCATGGCGGAGAGCGACGTGAGGAAGGGATGCACGGCAAGAAAAGGGGGACACGCTAAGCAAGTGCACGTGTGTGGTTCTCAGATAGCCTCTTTTTCGATCCAAATCTTCCTGGTCACGTTCATCCTGCTGGACACCGTCTATGTGGGCTTTCTGATCAAGCAGGGGGGGCTGAGGTACTTTGGCTACGGGTGGAACTGCGTGGAAGTCATTAATTTGGTAAACAAAGCCACCGTGAATGCCCCGTCCACACATGCAGGGGCATACTTGGGCGAGATTTGCTGTCTTAGGTGTTGTTCTACATCTTGATTGGCCTCCGCATCCATGTATACATCTACTCTAGCAGCGATCTGGGTCAGACGGAGAAATCGTGTGAGCCCTGGGTAAACCTGCCCTGCATGTATATGTGTCTCGTGTCTGTAGGCTTGCGTTCCAATAGTGTGTCGGATCCGTATGAGTTTCGCCCTTACTCATCCGGTAAGAATGGCGCTCCTCTCATCGATGGCCGAATGGCCGTGTGTCTCCTGCAGTGATCCAGTACATCCAGTTGTATTCGCGTCTCATTGCCTTCAATGCCGTGCTCATGTGGTCAGCGCCAGCAGACAGGATGTGTGCGTATTTGGAAGAATGCCTTTCTTTATGTGTGCGTGCGGTTGGTGCCTGCAGGATGAAGCTTTATAAGTACATGGCTCTATTCGGCGTCTTTCGGTCACTCATCAGAGGTGGGAGGCTTGGAAACGCCGCCACCTCTGTGCATCCTTGCAGACTTCATGTCTTTATCTCCCTCGCAGCGCTTGAGCACGTTGTGCGTGAGTTGGTTGGCTTTCTGGTGCTCTTCTTCTGCGTTCTTTTTGCTTATGCTGTAAGGATGAGAACTAATCCGATGCGCGAATGGCTTTATGTGTGTGCTTTCCTTCTGATTCGGTTGCAGCTGGCTCTTTATGGCGGTTTTGCTGAAGCTTCAGAGAAATTTGCTACTCTTGACAGTAAGCGCAGGGCACCGTGGCCTTTGCAGGCATTCATTATGTGTGGACACGTGTGTGCAGATTGTTTCTTCTCGCTGTTCTTCATGTTGCTGGGCAAGTATGAGCTCACGCCTCTGTATCAGGCGCATAGATTCTTTGGTCAGCACCGGACCTATTGGTTGATGCATGTGTCCGTTGAACTGCTCTGTCTCCCGGTGTGCAGGTCCCCTGCTGTTCTTCACCTTCTTGCTGATCGTGTACTTCCTGCTGTTCAATCTTGTGGTGGCCATCGTCATCGACACATACACACTGGTTGGTACACACAAAAGGGCAGTAAGGACGGCGCCAAGGCACCTGGAGTGTGTGCTGGTCGTCTTCAGATCTCCGTGTTGATGGTGAGCGACCAGAAACACGACCCAATGCTGGTCTTCTTCTATGTGTACTACCACAAAGTACGCACGCAAAGCCCTCCCACATAACATGCACCTACCAAGAGCAGCCATGCATGGCCGTGTCCCTCTCCTTGCCTGTCCACCAGGTCCGCGGCATCGACCTCTTCTGGCTGCACGCCGAGGAGCTGGGTGGCCCCGGCGACCAGAAGATCAAGCTGACTAATCTGCCTGGTGTGGTGATTAAGAAGTACCTCGAGAGAAGTAACAAGGGGCACGACAAGGGGTACGAAGTAACAGAGGGGCCGGATGTGGAGGACGTCGACCCCGATGCGCTGGAGAAAATCGAAGTCGACAGAGTGCAGCTGCAGGTAGTGGGGCAACCAACACCAACACACGTGGAGGGGGTGAGACGGATACACATTATTTCGACAGAAACTGTTGGATGAGAATCCCCTCCTCGTTCAAATGCTGGAGACGGACAACGCTGCCAAGGTAGAAACCATCCGCCACCGATTTGTCCATTGGTGGCTGTGTTTGTGTCATGTGTATCCATCCTCAGGTCATTCGCCGATTCAATGAACGCGCAAAGCAGCCCCTGACAGAAATCACAGAGCTGCAGGTCAGGCGCCCGGCTGTATTGAGCTGTCAATCGTCCGTCTCTCTCTCTCTTTCTCCTGTCCTTGCTGTCTGTGTGCCCACAGGAGCGTGTGTATCGGAAGCTGGAGAGGCTGGAGAAGTCGGGCATAGCATTGGAGTACAGCGAGGTGCCGGCCGTGGAGTCCGTCAGGAAGGGCCTCTCGGAGCAGCTGCAGCGCCTGCAAGCCAAGTGGAAACAAGAGCTGGCAGGTCAGCAAGGGATGGAGCGAGGGAGCGACGGAGCGACATCGCGAGATCCGTGTTGTTGTCTGTGCAGATGTGTTGAGGACGGCAGCACAGGCGTCTGCGGGGCTCATCGATCTGACAAAGGTATTGAAGCATCCCATGCCTGTCCGTCTCAGACAGGTGGACGTGTGTTCATCTTGGCCCATCGGTCAGGCGCTGGAAAACGTACAGATGAATCACAACACGCTTGTCCGAGAGCTGGCGTCAGCCGAGGACGAGGAGGCGTGATGAGTTATGACATTGTGATGCATGTGTGTTCTGGGCGTGTGTGGTAGTGGGAAAAAGTGGTCGTTAACGGTCTTGGCCAGCCTCGTCATCCTCGCCGATTAGCTCGCATTAGGGTTTTGAGAAGCTGAGAGAACGGACGAGGAACCTCCTGCTCGTCCATCGTTTCTGTCCTTCCCTTCTCGTCTTAAATCGCACCTGCAGACAGCAATCGCTCATCCTTTTTGAAGGCCTTGGACTCCTGGTGGCGAAGGACTCTGCCTGTCTACCGCCGCGCACAGAGAGATCCGCCATCGCTTCTACCGAGGCAGTAAGGATGCAGTCGTCACTGGCATGGCTGCTGGCTATCGCAGCGCTCGTCGGCAGCGCATCTGCCTTCCCCACGTAAGTGTGGGAGATCATTCAGAGGCCTGCGGGGCTCGGGAGGGGCGCACTGAGTTGCACGTGTGGCGTGCCGCTGCCCACAAGCCCACAATGGCTGCGTGTCTCGTGCGGCGTGCAGGTCTTCGTGCCCTGAGGGTTTCGTCTGGTTCGGGGGGAGGTGTTTTGCCAAGTTCACCTCTCCGCTGGGCTGGGAGCAGGCCGAACAGCAGTGCCAGGAGAAAGGAGGCCACCTCGCCACCATCGGCAGCATTCTCGACAACGAGGTTCTCAAGGTGAGCTGAACAGTGAGGCGGGCACCATGTGGTGGACGGATGGGTGTTACGTGCTCTCTTGGCCTGTGCAGCTTCTCTGCTTCAACGGCACAACGTCCAACGATGACCGCGCCTGCTGGTACGATCCTGCACGGTTGCCACACACGCACCCAGACACACAGCTGTGGGTGAGTGGTGTGAATTACGCGTGTGTGGTGTGGTCGGTCGGTCAGGATCGGTCTCAACGACCGTGCCAAGGAGGGGAGCTTCCAGTGGACCAACACCAACATGACGGCCGCCGAGAACATGTGGGCCTTCGACTGGGCCGTAAGCATGGAACACATACAAGCACGATGAACGAACATGAACACGATGGACATCCTACCTTTGTCTGTGTGTCTTCAGGTCCACCGCGACAACAACTACGAGCCCAACAACCTGCCCAAACGCAGCGACGGCGAGTGTGCCGACGACAACAGCGCCCCCGAGTGCGGCGCCAACTGCGTGTGGCTGTACGGTGCCGACGGCACCCTCAGGGACTGGCCATGCACCGATGAACTCCCCTACCTGTGCGAAACCGATGCTGAGGAAACATTCTGTAAGCCAAGAAAGATGTGTGGGGGGTGGGTAGAGAGATAGGACAGACATGCTTTCATGTGCACCTGCCTGTGTGTCCGTTGTTTCGTTCAGCGAGTTACCGCTGGCGGTTCAAGGCCGAAGACCGGGACCCCATCACTATCGCAGAGATACAGTACGGGTGGCGCACACACAAGACTACCTCTCAGCCATCCTGGCACGTTCTCTTCGTCTCGTCTGTCAGGTTGTTCCACGATGCCGAGTGCAATGACCGCGTCAACGTCAGTTCTGCTCAGATCTTTACCAGCATGTCCATCCAGAGCATCCTGAGCGGCCGCAGGAGCAGAAACCGCGACAGGAGCCGCGGCAACGACACTGACGACGAGAGCGCCCCCACCACCGCCCCGTCGGCAGACGAGGACAACGAGGTGGTCGAGACCGAGAAGCTCGAGGAGGAGATGAGGATGTTTGACGACGACGAGGACACCACCCTCAAGCTCACGTGCGACCCGGGCTCCGAGCCTGAGCAGGATGACGTGGGCGATGAAGGCCTCACCGACAATCGCACCGCCAGGCCCGCCATCCGGAGCTGCAGACCAGAAGTGCAGCTCTTCTTCCCTAAGGTGAGTGACAGAGAGGGAGGGGCACACAGACAGACTGACAACAGGCGAGATCATGCCTTTGTGTGGGACATCCATCCATCGTGTGTGTGAATGCAGACGACTGAGATTCAGTGTGCGCGTATGCTGACCAAGGACGACGGTGATAGTCCCCGCGACATTCGCTTCGAGCGTCTGGAGCTGCCCCGCCATTTCTACGGCATGAAGGTCGCCACCACACCCGGCGAGTGGAGCGTCTTCTACTTCCCCGAGACCGACCGCTTCAAGGACCTCTACGAGGAGGCACACCGGCCCTTCGACCTCGACATCGCCGTCAACAGCATCACCGCCGGCGCCTTCATGAACTCGTCGAGGGTGCGTCTGGTGCGCCGCCCCGTGACCCTCATGGAGCGCAGCTGCCTGGACTACGATGCCGACAGCGAGGTGGAGGGGCTGGGGCTCGAGGTGGCGCCCGAACAGGCCGTGACCACCGAGATGGACGCTAATGGAGACACCCAGGCGGTCTATCAGGTGGGTCTGTGCACAGGCATGGGATGGTGGATGGTGTATACGTGCGGGAGGCATGGCATGGTTGTGGTTTTGTTGCTTCAGACCTGGAAGAACGTCGTGATAGACACGCCGGGCATGTACGAGATCTGCCACTGCTTCAGCGACTGCGAGCTGGCCAAGCAGTGGAGAGACGTCGGTGAAATCTCCGTCGCGGGTGACCGGCAGCACCACACCAGATGACATGCTGCACGCCATACACACAATCTCACTCATTGGATTCCCGTCGGTTCTACAGGTCTCCACCGTGACGGTCTGGCCACCGTGCAGTCCGGCCGTGTGTTCTCCCTGCTGCTGCCCGGCTGGGCCCTCCCCAAGAAGACCACCGATGAGCACGAAATCGCCTCGCGCCTCAAGATCATCAGTGACGCCGAGAACGCCTCAGATGCCGCCCCGGACACCTGCGGCAGGGCCGCGGCGTCGGCAGACGTCAAGAGCGGCATCGACTGCGATGGCGCCACCGAGTGCCACACCGCGCCCACCACGGCGCTCATCTACGGGCAAGAGTGGGCCGACCTGAAGATTGTCTCCAAGACGGCCAAGAACTACACTGTCTGCCACTGCCTGAAGGACTGCGGCAACCCCGATCGGTGGCAGGATGTGGGCACGGTGGCGGTGGGTGTGCCAGACCACACGTGCAACTGGCCGGTGGCGTGCAGCGACTACTACCCTGAGTGTGTGCGGTATCCCCTCGACCCGCCCAGAGACATCGGCTGCGAGCCCGAGGGTGACGCATTCACTGACGCCGAGAATGAAGCCTACGACAGCGACACCGGTGATGCAGAGACCCCTCGTGCGTCTCAGAACCCGCCCACCCCCTCGCCCATCCAGCCAGTGGTGGTTAACAGGCGACGCGACAACAGCTCAAGAAGCGATCAGGAGGACCAGATGGACGAGTCCCTCGCTGACTCCGTCCGGGGCGTGTCGCTCAGAGGTGAGAGCAGAGCAACAAACAGAAGACACAGGCCAAACGCCGTGCAACACGTGTGTGTATGTCCTGATTGATCCCTCAGACCAACGGGAGCGGATGCCGGCCAGCACGGCATGTGAGGGCGACTGGTGCCCGGGCGCCGAGAGCGCAACGGCCGCCGTTAGTGAGAGCGGCGTCTCGTCTGGCTACACCCAGCCAGCAGAGCGCGCCGACAACAAGGGCGGCAGCTGGCTCATCATCACTGGTAGGGCCACAGAGGGAGACGTGTCGTCTCGTGATGCACCGCCCATCGCTCCGTTGGTGTTGATGTGTCTTGCTCAGGTATTGTTGCCGCCACGTTCGTTGTGTTGGGCTTTGCCCTCACTGGCCTCTGGTGCTGCTGCTTCAAGAGAGGGTAAACCGTCATCACGCACCAACACGCCCACCAACACACACGCTCTCAGATCATGTGACCCCTGACTGTTTTCTCTCCCCACCTGCAGCCGCCGGGGGCTGTCGTATTGCTTCGTGCCCACCCCCATGGCGCGTCGCGAGTTCGAGGACGACCATACCCACACCGTCACCGACACCATGAGCGAGGTCTCCACCGAGTTCGCCAGCACCACAGCAGCCGGCACACCAGCCGCTGACAAGGCCAGTGCGGCAGCAGCGGCTGCGGGGGGCGGCACCAAGAAGCTCTCCATCGATCTGTATGACCGCGACATCGAGCAGGGCGGCGGCAACGGGCCCGCACGAACACTCTATGGCACTCCTAGCTCGGCGGCAAGACAGCAGCAGGCCCAGCAGGCCCAGCAGAAGCAACAGGACGGATCTCTCTTGGACTTTTGAGAAAGAGTGGTGGACGGGACGGGTGGGTGATGGGGGTGGATTTAGTGCCGATTGACCGTCGACTGGATTGGTCGGCTCATGTGGATGAGTGTGAGCGTGTGTGGAACGGACGGCGTGCTCGCGTGAGGCGATCTGAGTGGTGCCATTTTTTGTGCATTCCTGGTGGGGGGAGGGTGAGGGCGAGAGAGCGAGGGCATGCGAAACAGAGCGAGCTTTTTTCCCAATATCCATTCATCCCATGCCATCATCCCATCCCCGTTCCACACACCCCGGTCTGTCTGCCTGTCGGTCGGTCGAGCAGTCGCCTTGAACCATCAAAGGTGACGTCCACTCGCCAGCCAGCCAGTCATTCGTTCATTCGTACTTTTCCTCGTCTGCGGTTGCGTTACTTTGCTTTGCTCGTTTGCGCGGGCGGGGCGAGGGGTCCTGTAGGTTACTATACAATTAAGTGGACGGACATACCATATGGGGATGGATGGGTATATGGGCACGGTATGGAGCGTTATTCACCTCACCTCACCTCACCCGACCTCATCCGACCTCGCCCAGCACGTCGTGTCTTTTTCCGTCTTTCATTGATGCGTGTGTGGGGGCTGGGCCGTCTTGGAGTGCGCCTTTTATGGATGGAGGGACTGATGCGCTGCGTGTGCCTTTATCTAGACATACACACATCTCTATACCTATCTATACCCGCTTTGTGGCGTGTGTGGGCGTGCTGGTGCAGTGTCTCACGCAGTGAGACGAACAAGACGATATGGGAGGGTCCGCTTGTCGACAGACAGCAAATGGGCGGCTTTGTCAAGTCGGTCCATGTCCAACCGAGGCCGTAAGTGGATGGATGTGGTGGGGGTGCCTGTGTGCGGAATGTACGCGTGTCTCGTCACCTGTGTGTATGCGATGGATGGATTCATCGAGTGGATGGAAAGCCCTCATGTAAGCTGTCTGGTGTTGTGTTTGTGTGGAGGAAGGACAGCCCTGAGGCACTAAGACAGACAGACAGACAGATAGACCAGCACACCGCACTCCCTCTCTCCTGTTCCCTCTTGCCTCTTATCTATCACGTCCATCGACCTGAATGTGACTTTCCACTCACTCGGCCTGGATGCTTTTCTCGATTTGTGTATCTCTGCTGGCTGATGTGTAATCGAGCACGCTAGTCGTGCACCTCGACACCGACCTGCCCGTCCGCTGCAATCACGGGCTGGCAGCGCAGTGTCGAGGTGGGGACAGAGAGCCTGCTCGAGGGCACATCAGCCGCGCAGAGACCCTTATTCTTTCTATCTGAAGGGCTCTCCGCCTTCTGTTGCGTGCTGCGGAGAGCGTGACTATGTGATTGATCATGGGTTGCAACCTTGCAAGTAAGAACCAGTTGCGATACGTGTCTGCTTGTCTTGGCTGAGTCGTGCAGTGAGCTGGAACGTGGACAGGTGGCCGCTCACTTCCGGCCAGTTGTTGACGTATCCGGCGGCTGCCCAGATACAGCTCGGACAGGCGACATGTGGATGGGTGGATGGGTGGATGGATGGATGGATGGAAATGCATGCCTCACCTGTGGGACCATCGCACACGGGTCGACGCTCCATGCATCACCTCACCAACACGTGTGCGGGTGGACGGGCGGACTCTCTCCTACGTGGACGACTGAATGACGTGCATGTGATTGGATGGGATGGGATGACATGACGGTCACCAACGCTCCGAAAGATGCATAAATACACACACGCATTTATCTAGAGGTATGGAAGGTTCTGAGGGAGGGAATGCACTGCGATCGGTCTGTCTGACAGAATCATCTGGCCACATGCACACGCGCAACAAACTCCCCCTCCCTCACACCGAATTCTCACACACGCGCCCTTGGCGTGTGTCGTTCATTCATTGAGTCAGATATCGAAGAATAGGCTAAGGCCGGCAAAGACGAGGAATAGGAATCCCCCAGCAAGCGCCACCATCTTCTCGCTAATGCTGCTGGCCAGCATCTTGCCCCCAACCACAGCGACGCCCGTGCACAGGCCGTGGCCCAGACAACCCCCAACCGTCACGCCTATGGGGTCCTTGGCAGCACTGAGTGGAGGGAACCGAACCGTTGTTTGTATGATTGAGACACAGCAATACAAAGGAGGCAGGCATGTGCTTGCTGGTTGGTTTCGCATTGCTTACGCGAGGGCTATTGTCGCGATTTGTGACCTGTCCCCCCATTCTGCCAGGAAAGTGAGAGAGCACGCCTGCAGATCACACAACACCCAACACATCGATATATCGAAGATGCTTTGTCCACTCCACTCCCCCACCCCCCCAACCCGACCTGCCAGAAGACGTGGTTGATGAGCATGCGGATGACATTGCCGCGCCTTTTCCTGCCGTGGTGGTGCCCATGAAAGAACTTTTTCCCCGGAGAAGACATGTCGTCGGTCGACGGCGGTGCAGTGAGCGGCGACTGCCCCCCAGTGTATTCCACATCGGGGATCGACGACGACCGCGACTGCGTGCCGGCCGGATACCGCGTCAGCTCCACCTCGGCCTGGTCCCGTGTGGGGTTGGGGTTGGGGTGGTGGGGTCCCAGGCCGTTCAGAGAGCCATTGTTGCCGTTAATGTTGCCATGGTTGCTGGTGTTGGAGTTGGTGTTGGTGTCATCGTCCGTCTTCTTGCTCAGCTCGGCCTCTACCTCTCGGATCTCTTCGCTTGCTGCAAGGCATCAACACCCACACGCACACACCCACACACACGCGCGTGCAGCCTGCTGCCATTCGTGTTGTGGGTGGGTGGGTGGGTGGGTATGCGGGCGGCTGTGTGTGGTGTGGTGTGGTGTGGTGACTGACCTCCCCCGTCCTCCATGAGCAGGCCTTCCCTGAGCAATCGCACTCCGAAAAAGAGGAAGAGCACGATTGAGGCGTAGTGCGTGTATGTGCGGCTGAGAAGGTTGGGGAGGGTGTAGCCCATGGCGGCGCTGAGGACCGTCATGCCGCCCAGTGCCGTCATGGCCCCCATCCACACTATCAGGTGGCTGTGCTTCATCGACATGATCGCCGCAATGAAGAACGTCTGCACAGGGGGAGAGGAGGGGACACGCATGACGTGTGTGGTGCTGTGGGTTCTGTGCGCGGTGGTTGTCCGCTCACTTTGTCTCCCAGTTCGGAGACGATTATGAGTGACAGCGAGGCAATGAATGCCGCCCAGAAGCCGCCCGCCTTGACGCCAAAGAATTTCTCCACTGACGAAGCCGATGAGCCCCGGCCACTCGCTCCCTCCCAAGTCCCATTCGTCCCCCCCTGCGACCAGCCAGCCAACCAAGTATAATCACAGACAGAGGCATTCAAAGACAGAGATCAGATCTGTGCACTGCACCGATCTTTGCCCTGTGCCGTCTGCTCCTCACCACGGCGATGTTGACATGGCGTGTGGCCATCTCGCTGTCGGTCTCCTCCCTCAGCTGGCTCGATGCCCTCCGCAGCATCTCCTCCCCTTCTGCGGCAGAAGCTGCATCTTCACGCTCTGTCGCTGCTTCCGTGCCCTCCACACTGCTGGCAAGATGCACTTGGCCATCCACCAGGGAAAGCAACGCCGCCAGCAGGAGGGATAGCAGCAAGATCAACACGGGCTTCCTGCTTCGTTTGCAGATTGGCACGGCGGACGACGTCATGCTGGTGCTCTCACCTGCGAGCTTAGCTGAGAGCACCGTCATGGTGCCATGCCCACCAAGCGGCAAGCGACCGCTGGTGAAGCACGGCTCTCCTCCCTGCAAGCGACCGCGACGGGCCGCACGCGCCGAGAATGACAGCCAGGACCAGCTGATGCTCCCCCTCCCTCTCCCTCTCCGACACGGGCCTGCCGCAGCAGACAGCTCTGCCCCGTTTGCACCCACACCGTCGACCGCCAGATCTTCCGGAGCAACGCCCTCTTCACTGTTCAGCCCGACACGTCGCCCACTGCCCGAGGAGGAGAAGGTCATCGAGGCATGTCAGAAGGACTTTCAGTCCAGGAGGGCGTATTCTCCCTCGTGCTTTGGAAAGCACGAACGGACGCTCTCTCATCTGCCCTCGACAGTGACGGCGTCCTTCGTTCCATGCACACAAGGAGATGGCAATCTCATCGCCACATCGGCCCATTCGCTGACTCGGCTGGTGATGGGCACTATGTCAGCGGGAGGGTGGTCGTGTCGCGAGTGGGTGTCCAAGAGCGTCTGACGTTTCGGTGGACGCCCTCACTGATGCACGACATCAAGACGGCGCTCGCCGAGCAGCCCCTCGACCCAGACAGATACATCTTCGCGGTCCCAGCCCCTCTGCCACCCCCACCATCCTCTAACCAAGGTAGGTGTTGAGAGGGGCAGGGGGGGGAGAGAGAGTGCGTGAGGTCGTGGGAACTGCGAATGCAGGCGTCCCTCTGTCTGTTTGTGTTTGTGTCTGTGTTGGCAGATGATGATATGGAGATGACTGCCGCGCCACCCCCTCTTCTCTCGCCCTCCGAGTACGTCGCGGCCTGTGAGGAGGACTTTAAGACCAAGAGGGCCTCAGCTGCCAACACAGCGCTCTCCAGACTGCCCGACCACGTGACGGCGTCCTTCGTTCTCATCTCGCAGCAGGACGGCATCGTGCAGGCAACCGTGGGACCATTCGCTGACTCGGCCGGCAACGACTACCACGTCAGGGGGAACGTGGTCGCGTCGCAGCGGGAGGACAACAGGCAGCTGACCTGTCGGTGGATGGGGAAATTCAAGAACAGGATCAACATGGCTCGAGCCGACCAGCCCCTCGACCCAGATCAGCACACCTTCGGCAAAGACAACGAGGGCAGACGGGTCCTATTGCGCAAGAAGAGAGAGGGTGGTAGGGGCAGAGGGGGTGGGGGAGGCGGTGGTGGTGGGGGTGGGGGTGGCAGCCGTCGTGCACCGAAGAGGAGGAGGTCTGCCCCCCCGAGAGAGCCCCAGGTCCCCAAGGACGCTCCGGCCTTCTTCAAGACGCGACACCCCCATGCTCACTGCCCCAACATCACCGACATAGGCAATCTGTGGGATCAGATTGACTGCCAGCTCCCGGACGGCTTCGGGGTGGACTCGGTTGATCTCAATGTGGCCATTCGTGCGATGCAGTCGATCAAGAAACGGAAGGAGCAAGACGACTGCGATCCCGAAGCGGCTGGAGCAAGACACAGACCCAACCCACGAGAGGTCAGGCGATCTCTGTTTGTCGGCACTCATGTCCGTTGTTCAACTGATATCGTGTCATCCCTTCCTTTCATGGCTGTGTCAGGTCTCTGGTGTTGACGATTTCGCAACGTTTTGGGTGGAGGAGCATCAAGAGTGCCTAGCGGAGGAGCGACTCGACAGCGAGCAGCTGGAGGCCGAGATTCGCGAGGCAGCCTCTCGTGAGGTCTCTGCAGTCCAGGCACGGCTTGCGAGCATGACAGCTTCTGTGTTCCAGCCCGATGAGTTCCTCGAGCTCGTCGACGGGGCTCTGGTGGCCGTGTCAGCAGCGGACTATGACCGCCTGTTGCCGATCTGGCAAGATAGCATCAGACAGGCAATTTGTCTTCCGTATCAGTACAACTTCATCGCTTTCCAGCCCGCCCGGCAGCCAGGTGCCTCATCGGCGCGTCGCCGGCCGCGTGGGGGCGGTGGAGGCCGGCGCGAGAGCCGGCCATATGATGGCATGTCCATGTCGTATCGGGGACCAGTGGCCAGGTACGGGAATGCAAAATCAGGTCATACAATGCACCTTCTTCTGTCCTCGCTTGTGAGTGCAGGTGGTGGACAGGCCATATGCCTGGCATATGGAAGGCATTCGAGGCCTTCGTTGGATTGGTGGAGCTGGAGAAGCTGAACGTGGTCCGCGCGCCCAACAACGAGGAGCCCGTCCGCATTCCCATGCCCCTCATTGCGTCGCTTCCCAAATGCCTCGACGCCCTCCGTGCCGCCAGCGTGGGTTTGAGCGTGTGGCTGCCTGTCGTGCTGCGGCAGGTGGCGGGTGATTCTATCCACGGCCTCGCTTGGAGGGACGGCAAGCGCCAGGTGCTGAGAGCAGAGGCTCTCGCCGGTCATGCCGCTGTGCAGAGGCGCCTCTCGATTGACGGCGCGGGTGTCGACGGCCCTCCGTCCAACGTCGTCCCGACTGGGCTGGACGTGGACATGCTGGCGGGGGACGACCAGACGCGTGTGCAGAGTATCGACAGTGTGATAGCCGATCTGGAGAGAGAGCAAAAGGCTTTGAGTAGTATTGGATGAGTTGGTCTGTTTATTGTGGATAGCGATTTATTGTTGTGGCCTGTACTTGAGCCCGACCATCATGACGAAACAGGAAGTGCGAGCTTAGCTGAGAGCACCGTTGTGGCCTGTACTTGAGCCATCTGGTAAAGCACAGATGTTTGCGGATCACAGACCCTCAAAAATACGAGCTCGCATCTGCGAGCTAATCCGTGAAACTGCTCGTCGAGCTAAGCCCGAGGAGAGAGATCTGGGCATCTGCATGGTGCAATGAGGGCAACGATCCCACTTGGTTTGCTAGCGAAGCTTGTTCTTGCAGCTGCACACGCAGCAGCACTTGAGTGGACTTTATCACTGCAACTCATCGCTCGCCCCTCTGCGTACGTCCCGGTGCCCGCTCCCCACGTGGAAACGAGATTCGTGGCATCATCTGCCCGCTCTGCTGGCGCCCGCTCATCGGCCCGCTCCTCTTCGTCCGCTCGGCGCGTGACATCGTCATCCCGTCGCGCTTCGCCGTCTTTTCGCTCTTCCCGGCGTGCCCCCTCCATTCCTCGCCGATTACAGCCTCGCACAAGCAGCGGGCGCCGCCCAACGAGCCGTGGACCGCCACGCATAGACAGCGCAAAGCGACTAAGGCCATCTGCCAGCCATCCACCCGAGAGGACGGTGCGGCCAAGCGGCACTCGTCGGGCCGAGGTACGCCCAAGGCGGCAGGGCGATCCCCATGAGCACGAGCATGAGCGTCCAAGGCTGCCCAGGCAATGGCGATGGGGCAGCCATCACGAGGCCGACCATGACGAGGACGAGATAAGACGGGGGCGTGGTTATTCGGCAGCGGAGTACCCATCCCCTCTGCACAGCCTCAGGCTGCCTCACATACGGAGAGCAAGGGTCTACACTGACGACGTGACCACATGGCCATCCGAATGGGCCGGACCGAGAGCTGATCGTCATGACCATGGCGACTCAAGAGACGAGGCTGAGAGGACCGAGTCCTCAAGGAGGGGCTTCTTCCTATCGCACACCGCGGCGGCTCTGCTGGGTGCAGCGGCTGTCGGTTTTGGGTCACCCATGGCGGCCCAGGCTGTGGTTCAGTTCGATCGAGGTCGTTATGGCGACAAAGAGCTCAAGATTGCAACCGTCAACAAGCTCAAGCAAACGGTCGGGCTGGCCATCACTGAGAAGCCGCATCTCGCAGGGCAGCTGGTGCGCCTCGCCATCTCCAATGCCCTCTCTTACGTTGCTGCCACAGGTGGGAGGCATCACCCACCCTGCACACACACAGGAGTGAGCGCTGTCGCTTTGTTTGCTTTGTGTGTGTGCAGGTGAGGGTGGTTTGGACGGCAGCATTCGGGAGGAGGTCGACCAGCCCGAGAATGCAGATGTGCGTGAGGCAGTTGAGCTGCTCGAGAGGATCCGCAAGGACATCAAACGCACTAACGAGGTCACATTCGCCGACCTCCTCTCGTACGCAGGTAGGTGTTGTTACCTACGGACCCTGCAGCGGATTCATTGCACACGGAATGATTTGTTTGTCGGAACCAGGCGCTGAGGCTATTGAGCTTGTTGGCGGCCCTCGGTTCTCGCCCCAGCTCGGCCGTGGACAAACGATGGGTCCTTCGAAGACCTCAGCCCACTTCGACTGGGGCAAGATCGACGCCGCTGAGGCGGTGCGGGCATTCGAGAGAAGCGGAATGTCGCCGAAAGAGGCCGCTGTCATGATAAGTAAGCGCGCCATGGTGTGCCGACGGACAGGTGCATTCATTCACTCATATGCTCATATGCTGCCTCGTGTGTCAGGCACTGTCGCATGGGTCGATCGTATCACGGCAAAGGAGGAGGCCCAGCGCGCAGAAAGAAAGAGCGACAATGATGATGATGACGACGATGACATTTTCCAAAGCGTGAGCATGAGACGGAAAGAGAGAAAGAGCGAGTGCACACCACACGAGTCCATTCCCTCGCCTGTGTGTGTGCAGGAGATCCCCGATACGCGAGTGGGGATGCAAAAGTATGGCGAGACACTGGGAGGCAAGTCGACCAAACTCACCGCTCAGTACCTCAAGAACCTCCTCAGAGGCGGAAACACCACGGAGCAAGCATCACGGTGAGGTGCAGACATGAGACATACCCATGGTTGGTATCGTATCAATCATCCTCTGCTCTGCGTGCGCAGGCTGGAGCTGGTGCTGCTCCAGAGCCCTCTGCGCGACTATGTGGAGGTGCGCATCACAACGAATAACCGATCGGTTAATTACAACTGTGCACTCGTGCGTTTCCTGCCCCGTGTATGTATTGTATGTGTGCTGCAGGCGTACGCCAAGGACAACAAGAGCTTCACGAAGGACATAGCGGAGGTGTACCAGAAGCTGTCGCTGGCAGGAGCATCCTACTCGTCCACACTCTTCACGTGATTGATTCATGATTCACCAAGTCGACCGACTGACTGACTGAGGGACAGAAAACCCCTCCACTGTGTGATAAGGATGGTTGGGTGGATGAAAGAGATAAGGGGCCGCGGAGGGAGGGGCATCGGACAAAGTGATAAGGGAGGGGCAGTGCTCTTTGTCGTCACGCCACATGCGTGCATTCTTACTCTCTCACTGGTCTCTCTCTCTGTCGACCCGTACACACATGTATTTGCTATGCATCCATCTTTGCAGTGCTCTTTTTCATCATATGTGCATCTATGGACAGACTGGCCTAGACACAGCAAGCCTAAACCGTGAAATTTACATCGACCGTTGAACGTTAGCTTGGATGCTTGGCGCGGTGGAAAACAGCGGCAGGACGATATCGTTGGGCGCCATTGTTGTGTCCCTTCTGCTGGCGCTGTCCATCAAGCTCTCCAACCTGTCCATCTCGGCTGACGCCGCACCCTCAGGAACAGAATCCGATGCTGCTGACTCACAACAACACAAGACCCTTCTCAAGGGCGACGATGAGCACGCGCAGCAGCACCAGACAGAGGAGGAGGCTGGCACAGGGCCTGGCACAGGGCCAGTGAGCCGCTCTGGCCGAGCACCGCCCGCCAGAGACGAAGGGAAGCACCGCGGCAACGATGGGAATTCCTTGCTGAAGGGACGCAAGCAGGCAGAGATCACAGGCGTCAGCAAAAACCCGTTCGCCAATTTTCCGGTGAACTGACTGCTTGCGATGTGACGATGGCTTCTTTCTGTCTGTCTGAGTGTTCAGCTGTCCGACCAGACTGTGGGCATCCGCCTCTTCAGCGTCGCCCCGACAATCCCCCCGACAGTCTTCGGTAGGCAAGGCCACAGGCAGCTTGTCGAATGATGCCTGCCTGCCTGCCGCCTGTTGCTGCGCCGTGATTCCATCGTGCAGGAGTTGCGACTTCCAACACCGTCTACATCCTTGTAAGTCAGACAGGCAAAGACAGGCCGAGGAGCCCGAGGAATAATGCTTGTTTTGTGTGAGTTGCGCAGGTGCGTGATAGTGACGGTGACGTCAAGGCGGTGTCCCAGGGGTCGAACGACCAGTTCAACGACAAGTTCAACAACGTGCCGGCGGAGGGACGATTCAAGGTCGAGAGAGGGCTTAACAGACAGGTAAAGTTTTGGTCAACCCCTTTGCACTCGAACGGCATCCTTTTGCCTTGTGTCTTGTGCCCCTGCCCTGCAGTTCGGGCGTGGCGATTCACAGGTGGTAGATTTCAACGATCAGCGTGAGTATCGTTCCTTCCGCTACGCTGGCCCGGGGTGCACATCTGCCACATTTGACCCCTGCTACCTGGGATGGAGGCAACTTGGAGACAACCAGTTCGTCCTTACCGTGGAGCCAATCAGCCTCAGCAATGCGGGCGGCGACCGGCTCCGCAACAAGTCATGGTGCCCGGGGAGAGAAGGGGTGATACAACCACCGGTGCCAAGAGCAATGTGTGGGTGTCTCAGGGCGGTTTTGGGAGGCGCATTGATCCCATCGGATGCGTACTTCGGTGACGATGCCACCTGGCGATGGGTCTCGATCACAAACAACGTCCCTGGTGAGACGACACGGACGGGCAGGAACCATAATGTTCCTAAGTGTTTTGTGTTCCCTCACCGCTCACAGGTGAGTTTGGCACCATCAGCATGATCCTAGTCGAGCCCAAGGAGCAGTTCGCCTGGCTGGGTGCGGTGGAGTGCAACGGATGCTCATTCGGGTAACACTGGTGAGCGGGGCCGCTGTCACTTCGTGCCCAGCTGTTTTGTACGGGGCCGGGCGAAGTCAGTTTTTCTGTCTGTATCGTACCGTCCCCATTTGTGTACCACCTCACCTGTCTGTCTATTTGACTGACTTGAGCTGGGCTGGGCTGGGCTGACCAATCGCACATTGCCTGCCATGCGTGTCCTCCTCGTGTTGTGTGTGTGTGTGTGTGTGTGTGTGTGGTTGGTTATTTGTTCGTATCGTGAGTGCAGTGAGTGCTCTGCAGTGAGAGGTCTCTCTTGCACTTCCATCTCCTGGGCTGTGTTTGTCAGTCAGTGATACCTACCTTCCTTGATGTTGCATGACCGTGTGACCGTGTGGCGTGGCATGGTCCAGCTGCATCGCATCAAGCCATACATATCTCCTGGTACATGGTGGCACACGTGCATTCTCGAGGATGGGACATCCAAACATATACACAGACACTTACAGACAGACAGACAGACCTAAGCACGCATCAATCAGTGCACGCCACGCCCTCCTCGCTATACACAGACAGACAGACACATCCACACAGCCATACATACACACCACCCCCTACATCAGTGACTCAGCGACCCCCCATTACCCCCTGCACCAGCCTCCTCTCCGCCCATCCGCACCACACACCCCACGAACCGCCCCAAGACAACACCTGGCCCTTGGCGACAAACGGGCTGAGTGTGGGAGACGACGAGGCCGCGATATAGTAAATGCCGCTCGCCAGCACTAAGAAAGCGGGCACCAGACGACCAGCCAGGAGCCAGCCAACGACAGTGTAGTTCTCAGCTTGATCGTCGCCGTCTTGTTCCTGCTGGGCCGCCTCGCACGTCGACCCCTCACGCGTAGATGGGTCGCCCCCGTGCTGGCTCTTGAGCTCTCCTGCAGCGCTGTCTTGCTCTGATGCCAATGTCGGCTTGCGGCTTCGTAGCTGGGTGCCGGGTGGGTCAGCCGATGGCATGACAGACTGCTCAGTGCCATCCGTGTGATGGTCGCCAGAGGGTGGGTGTGTCGCTTCTGATAGAGTGACGTGGCGATGGACAACGGTCGCGACGGCGAGGAAGGGCAGCGCCATGCCGGCGAAGTACACCAGCAGCAGAGAGACAGCAGCGTGGGTCGAGAGAGGCGGCGGGACCATCATGGAGTGGTGTGTGGGGAAGGTGTCTTGTATGAGGGCCATGAATGGCCCGATGCACGGCGTCCACGTGAGGCTGGTGGCCAGGCCGCCCAGCACCGCACCAGCCGCAGTATCGACAACCACCTGCACACACAGCAGACAGAAAGGAGGGAGGAAAAGAATTGAGGCGTACCGTACCCGACAAGTGTGCATGGTGTTGGTTCTCGTCGGCTGGTATACCGTGTCGAATTGCATGGATGAGAGGACGAACAAGTCACTCAAGTCCTGGCGGCCCGTCCTGCGGGCGACGTATGCAGCAGTGCCGTAGAGACCAGGGAGGGAGAGGAGGGTCGCCCACACCAAATACAGCACACCAGCAACCTACAAGCAGACACAACACGAGCAGGCTCGTGATCACTGACTGGTACATTCTCCCATCCGATGCTTCTCACCTTCAGCCGTATTTCCGATTGCAGCGCGAGCGTCTCATCCACAATGTTCGCCTGGATAGGCTCGGTCGTCAGCTTCGCCCCCACATAAGCCATGCCCATAGACGCAAACAACAGACTGACGCCAAGCACCTCCGGCCAGCAGTACCGAGCCCACCACACCTCCACACGCCGGCTGCATCTCGCAATGCGCACCATGCCGGCAACTGCGGCCATGGATGGCACGATGAGGGAGCCGCTGCACGTCGATACGCTACCGAATAGCCCCGCTGCGAATGCGCCGGCGACCGACACCAACACGTGGATGAGCCAGTGAACACCATAGAACAGCCCGTCTCCCCGCCGCCCAGTGTCTCGCCGCTCAAAGGGCGGCGAAGCGAGGGGGGATGAGACAGAGTCAGGCTGGCGCCGGCCGTCGAGCAGCAGGGAGGTCATCCAGTGGCTGGATGGGGTCATGAGGGGCGAGATGCTGCTCGTTGTTTCCAGGACGCTTTCGTAGGTCTGAATGAGGTCGTTCTCGAGAACCAGCTGGGCGGACTTGGCGAGATAGTACCCATCATCCTGACAGGCGAAGGACATGCAAGGGTCATCGATGTGTCTCATACCTCCCTGCCCTCTCACCAGATATGTCTTTGATTCCTGGAAGAGCCCCAGTGTCATCAGTCCCGCCTCCAGACACTCCGCCCACATCGGCACACCGCCCTCCTCACCTCCCAGCCAGCCGCCCATGTGGTAAAGAGCCAACCTTACACACGAGTAGGCAGCCATGCCGTTGTCCTCGATCGTCTTGTGCAGCGAGATGGCGTCGCCAGGCGACGCGAAAAGGGATATGTCCGCATCATGGGGGTTGCGGTCGATGAAGCCGCCGAAGAGAGGGTCGTAGTTGCGAGACAGGAGGACATGCGCCAGGCGATCGATAAGGGAGAGGAGGGATGGCTTCTCGCGCTGGAAACGGGTGCAGATGTGGAGGTCGGCAGGGGGATGGTCACCACAGACGCTTTCGAGTGCTTCCAGGGTCTGGATTGCCCCGAGGAGGACAGCAGAGGTGTCTGCCAGGTTGCCGCGGGTGCCTCCCGCCCGGCCGCCGGCATAGAAGTGATAGACGCCGCGATCGGTCATCAGGTCGCCATCGATAAAGGCCAGAGTGTCGAGAGCCTTCTCGCACCCCACCTGCCGCAACTCCATGTCCGCCGAGTGCCGGCAGAGCCAGGCCATCGTGATGACGGCCTCCCCATTGCCATCTGCGTATTTCGTCGGGTCGACTCTCGGTGCCGGCAGGGCCTCTGATGGCCGTTCCGTGTGTGCGTAATATGCGTCCTCGCCGTTGACGTCCATGCTGCCGAAGAAGCCGCCCGCCGTGCTGTCCCACCACCGTTCGGTGATGAAGGCCATCGTGCGTGTGACGACGTCATCGAGGGTCGATCTGACGGCGTCTATAGCGTCTCGAGGCGATGTGGCATTGAGAATGGGGGGAATGGACGAGGTGGGAAGGCCGTCCTTGATGGGCGCGAGAACCTGGAAAAGCAAGCGCCTTTTGTCTTGTCGTCAGCGAGTAATGTTGGTTGATGGTGCATTAAGCTTACATGTTGCAAGTGGGCGAATGTTCGCAGCATTTTGACGTTGTCGACGAGCATCTTCTCATAATGCGGCGGGGTCCACTGACGCGTGGTGCCGTACCGATGGAATCCGCCCTCTACCGGGTCCCAGAGGCTGCCACACGACAAACGTGACAACAGCAATATCACGTCCACCACCCATCCATGGCTGCGCTGCCCCTGCCTGCCTTCCGTCCCTGGTTACTTGTACTTGCCCTGTGTCATTTGCTCCATTGTGGTGTACATGCCCATGAGCGTCCCCACAGCTACATCCGCCCACCTCCCCCCGACCCTTTCAAACATGTCCACACTGTAGTCCACCGACAGGGCATGGGGGAACTTGGCTCCATTGCCGAAGCCGCCCCACTGCCCGTCGAATAAAGGGGGGATGGACGACGTATACCGTTCGTGGAAGGCCTGCAGGGCCGCATGTGTCGGCAGGGAGAGGGGGCGCGCTGCGGCGGCTGTGAGGGCTTGCTCCAGCTGCTCGAGTGATGGTCTCTTGTCGCCTGGATGGCCGTCGACGTACCGCTGCCTCCAGTTACCAGCCGTCGTGACATCATTTGCCGCCTGTCCCTCGTGCCGCATCCTCTCAAAAACGTCGATCGCCTTGAGGAGAATCCCTCGTATCTGCTCGGGCGGCCTCGGCCCGCTCCAGCCATACACTCGCCTCGGCACACCACCCCCTCCCTCATCCGAGCGTGGCGGCAGCAGAATCACCGACGAAGGCCAGCCGCCCTCGAGCCATTGCTTGGTGAGGTCAGCACGCTTGTCGGCGTCCACATAGACGAGATGGAAGTGCTGTGCGAGGGTGTCAGCGACCATTGGGTGGAAGAGGTAGTCTTCGCTCTCGTACACTTCGCACCAGTAGCACCACGCCGGCGCCGTGAGGAGCAGGAAGATGGGCCGGGGCGAGGCAGCGGCCGCGGCAAACGTGGACGCCCTGCAACCACACGCAGACAACACGCAACATGCATCGTTGCCATGTGACGGGTTCGGCCGTGTGTGTGATGTGTTGTAATGGACCTGTAGTCCATCCAGGGCATGCGGCCTTTGAGGGCCTCTGCCTTGCTGTATGTGTACTTGAACTCTTCATGGTCGGTCTCGCGCGGGATAGGCGCCTTCACAGCCGCAGCACCCAGCCCCGATGAATCAGAAATGAAAATCAACGACGAGAACAGAAGATGCCCCACAAGCAGGCTCCGAATCACCCCTCCGGCCATCCGGGCAACCACTTCAAAACAACAAGGGTCGCTGTTTTTCCAAGCTCGCACGAGAGGGAAAGGAGGAGGGATTTTTGTAGCCTTCGGGGCTGTGGTGAGGGCTGGTGGTGTGTCAAGATGATACGCCTGTCGAAGCCCCGCCTGCTGTTGGCGTCTACGACGCACTACCTGCGTCGCAAGTACTGGATCCTGTGTTGGTCGCTGACAGATCCCATGGTGGTGGACTACTTCTTCGAAAAGTTCATGAGATGGCAGTACTACGATGTGCCGGTCAGCCAGCCAGCCACGGCGGGAGAGAGGAGACACATACCATGGAGCTCGTGTGGTGTGGTGTGTTGTGTTGTGTGCAGTCGTACAACTATATGTTTGCTGGAGCCCTGGGCATCGGCATCTGCTCGGCCTGCTACTTCAGAGTCTCGTTCTTCTGTCCACAAGTCTCGTAAGTGTTCCTTGATGGCCTCCAGTGCTTCCCTTCCTGTGCTGCTCTGCTGTCACACTGTGTGTGTGTGTGTGTTTGTGCAGGGTTCGCCGGTCTGACCGGCACAAGGCCCTTCCGGATCAGCACCGCACCCACGCCCACGCGCTGCCGTACTTCAACCACCACCTCCGGTATGTATGGGCCCACACCGCACGCCACACCAACACACAGCACACACAGCCACACACACACACGTGTGCTGTCTGTCTGTCTGTCGTTGGCCCCCCCACATGTCTGTCTGTCTGTCTGTCTGTCTGTCTCTGTGTGTGTGTTGTCAGCAACTGGGTGTTGAAGTGGCGTGCGAGTTTGATCGACAACGAGCCTGACTTCCAGGGTGACCATCCGTGGGGCATCCGTCCGCCCCGCCAGATGGGCTACCAGCGCTGCCCCTGGTTCCTCCCATTCCCCTACCAGTACATCATGAACGTCCCCCACTACGAGAGAACCACACACGCAGCTATGGAGGAATACTACGAGGTCAGATATATACAGCCATCTAGCAGGGACGGACGGACGGACGGAGGGAGGGAGCACAACAGCCACCCATGTTTGTCTGTGTCTGTCTGTGTGTGTGTGTGTGTGTTTAGCGCATCGGGTACTACGGCAAGACCAGGTACCGGTTCGGCATCCACCACGACCAGCAGGAGGGCGAGGGCCTCCCGGAGCCCGACGAGGAGGAATTGGAGTGATCCACACACACTCACACAGATAGCACACATGGCACACGCGACACACCACACCACGCACACTCGCTCGACCAGAAGTGAGGGAGGGCATGCGTTGATGGGCGTCGTGTTGGGCCGGTGTGGTGTGCGGCGGTGCTTTCAAAAAGTGTTTGGCTGACCGAAGTGGCTGCCTGGCTGACGTGTAACATGATCTAACTCACTCATCCTCTCCTCTCCATCCTCATCTGTCCGATCGTCTGCTCGTCCTGTGTGTGTGCCTGTCTGCGGTTCTGTCCTGGCTGTCTTTTGAACGGGAGAGCTAGGGTTGCGCCGCAGCGGCAGGCAGAACACAGGCGGGCGAGGGCAGGAGGGCAATGGATGGATGGACCATTCATGTGGTGCTGTTGTATGTATGGTCACTGACTGGGGTGTGCTCCACTGCTGTCTGTCTCTCTGTGGGCGAGGAGGAGTTGCGTCGGGTGGCTTGGCTCGCGGTTGTGTCTTCCAGCGTGTGTCAGTGTGGACAGCTACACGGCACGGGTGAATCCATCCCTCCGGATGCATCTGTTCCGTGTACGATGGCCGCTCCGACACACACTGGACGACACGAACATGAGACGAGCAAGCACAAGGTGGTTTCGTACGTGCGGAGAGGGGCGAGAGATCTGTAGCTCTGCCAGAAGCGCGCAGCCGAGAGCTTTTTTGACACACCCACAGCCGCACCGCACTACACCTGCTGCTGTAGAGTAGGCGGCTACCGAGAAGACAGCTGACTGACTGACGGATAGGGCGTTGAGCGAATGTGACTCAGAAATCTACCGCCACGGCGATGTGCTGTGAAGGCCAATTCATGCAGTAGTATGCCAACGCGTCTCGGAATGATGAGTCATCACCATCGCACCACACAGGCACAAAATCGACAGACACATCAGGCAGGCCAAATAGGGTCTGTCTGTCTCCCGGACAAAGCGCTAGCACCTAGAGAAGAGATGACGAAGCACCTTCCTTTCACAGTTGACTGCATGCATTGCAATGGTACATCAATCACTTGACGACTTGTTTGGCCAGCGCTGCCTCTGCATCCTCCAGGATGTTCTCATCCACCACCGACCGCTGCAGCGGGCTGTCACCCGCACCCACAGCCCGCTCCCTAGCATCCCTAGCAGCGGGTGGGGCCCCACTGCTCACCACTGGCTTCGCCTCTGTCCGTTGGATGAACTTGACCATCTCATTTGCAACTTCGGTGGGCAGCTCGTCGTGTGGGCAGTGGCCGGCGGGGAGCGGAGCCGTCTCAATCAGGTCGCCCAGCCGCTGAAAGGCCTCCATCCTCGCTGTGGCGTTGTTGAGCGGATCACTGACACGAAGGAGAGAGGAACAGAGAAAAGGAGCATTTGTGTGTGTGGGGGTTGTGTCATTGGCTGTGGGCTGGGTTGCTTACAGGAGTCCCTGGAGTATGAGCACAGGTCGACCGAATTTGGCAATCAGCTCGTTGTGCGACCTCTGGGGCGGCAGCTTGGCGCCGCTCGCAATCACGCCTATCGCCCCTGGATCGGCACTGTCCCTGCTCACACACACACACACACGAACACACGTGTCTCGTTTGAGCACTTCCCTCTCTGGACACTCATTGCCTCACCGTAGGATGCAGTCGATGATGCCGTCCTCCACCGCCGTCCCGTTGGTAGGGTAAAGGCGCTTGCAAATGCTGGGCGTCTGTGTCTTGAGGTAGAGGTACAGCCCCGTGGCAAACAGCTGCAGCAGTCTTTCTGGGGGCGCGCTGTAGGGCGGCAGTGGCTGTGCGTATCCCCGAGTGGCCTCCTCCATTGTGCCGCCGAGCGACGCCGTCACGTTGACGTACTCAGCCGGGGTGAAGACGCGACCCGCACTGTTCAGCAAGATGGTGCCTCTGGATTGGATGGGGGAAACGACAAGCGAGGAGGGTGGGCATATGCGTGTGTGGTTTGTTTCGTGGTCGATGCATGCATACCTGCAGAGGTCTCGTGTGTCCGCGGCGAGGGACTGAGCCATGTAGCCGCCAATGCTGTTGCCGGCGACGTAGTACGGCCCCCTCACAACCTCCAACACGAAGTCACGCAGCAAAGATTCCCAAGTGTACTGCACCCACACAGTGACACGAACGCACTCATGCAGGTCCTCTGCGTGTTCCTCTGATCTCCCCTCCTCTCTCACCTGTGTGAAGGTCAGTCTAGGTTTTTCGCTGTGGCCAAAGCCAAGCATGTCGATCGCAAAGACCTCATAATGCTGCTGCAGGACGGCCATGGTCTTTCGCCACTGGTCGGCAGAGGCCCCAAAGCCGTGCACCAGCAGCACTTTCGGCTTGGCAGGGTCGTGCTGTGTAGCGCTTTTGATATATCGGACGAGGAAGCCCCGCCAGTGGTAGTATCTCGTCTCCAGGGGCGTGTCGCTCCACGACATGCGGGGCAGGCTCGACGGGGGGGAGGGGGAGATGTCCTGATATGCCAGCAGCCGGTGCCACTCCTTCCACTCAACGTACTCCCTCTCAATGCTGACACGTACAAGACACACAGAATCAGACAAGGTCTTTCGGCGTGCTAGTCCCACCTTCGCAGGGGCAGCTCGACGGCTCGCCGTCGTCTCCTCGCGCTCGCGATCTCCCTCAGCGACAGGCACCCGAAGCCCACGCTCTCTGCAAAGGCTCTGGTGAAGGCCTCCCCTCGAAAGTAGGCATCCTTGACAGACTTTGCCGCCATCCGCTGCACGGACCGCTGCTCGAGGGATAGGGTGCTATTGGCGGTACTCTTGATGGCCGCCTTGGCAAAGTCGAGATCACCCATGGTGATGTACTCGTCCAGCTTGGCCAGAGCAGATGCCTCGCCGAAGGATGAAGCGCTTGTCGACGGCAGGACGTCAATGCTATCGCCATTGGCCAGCGAAGGTGGCCGGCCAGACGCAAACCCGAACAGGGCACTCTCAGGGGTGAGGGCTATCCGAGCGTTCAGCAGAGTGGCCGCATCGCTTGTGGAGCCTTCGATGCTCTCTTCAGTGAGCTTCAGAGCGTCCACAAACGAGGGAACCTCCGTCAAAGATCGGTCGATGTCAGCATTGGGGGGTGCAGGGGGAAGCGTGGCCGGCGCCGGCAGGGGCGGCATCACTTTGCCCTTCCGGAATCTCTTCGCATAGGCCGGAAAGGAAGACGGCAAAGCTGAGGTAGGCGTGGAGAGAGGTCGCAGAGGTGCCGACCATGCGTGGAAGGCCGCTCCCTTCTCCTGCGCTGCCCTCATGACCTCATCCTTCCACCTCTGCTGTGCGTACTCAGGGCTGTCATGGAAGAGCACGTCTGTGATGGCCTTGGACGCGATCAGATCTCCAATCACGGCTTGCGTATCGCCCTGGAAGAGGAACAAGTCGCTGTTGCGCTGACGCAGGGCGTCGCGCAGCTGCGACAGTGCTGAGAGCAGCAGCTGAAGACGGGTTGGCGAGACCTCGTCCAGCGCCGCTGGGTCAAAGATGAACACGGGAATGCATCTGTCGCTCTGCTGCGATGCGGCATAGAGGGCGGGATGGTCATGCACGCGGAGGTCGGTAAGAGAGTAGACAACGAGGGAAGATCCGCCTGTGGCCAGTGCAGGCAGGTCGTTTCTTGCAGTCACTGCTTGTCTTCCGGCGGCGCTCATCCTCAGCAGCCCTCTCCGCTCCCTCGGCGCCGTAGACAGCGGCGTCTTGGTGGTCGATAGAAAGGCGGCAGCCTCCTGATCTTGAGCACGAAGCCGCACTGCATCCGACTGCATGTGCATGAGTAACAGAAGCAATGTAACGGCAGCAAGATAGGTCATCGTCAGGCCTGTTCTCATCCTGAAATATAGCTGTCTTTCCACCCGAGAAGGCGCGAGCTCAAGCTCGCAAGAACGGTAAAGAGGAACGTCGTGAGAGAAGGATAGGAAGAGCAGCTATCAGAAGACTAGCTACCTACTTCCGAGCTGATTAGAAGATAGGAATCGCTGCTTCTGAGAGTGCTGCACTGATATCTGCCCGGAGAGTCTGACTTGGAGACGCCGCTCAGTGCTTCAACAACACGGGGTTGTTGGGGCTTCCCGCATCGTGAATTCATTCTTATCGAAGGACAAAAAGCCAGCGAAGGCACGACAAGAGGCAGAAAGATCCTGTAAGATCAGCTGCACGCACTCACTGGGGAGGCAATGATCAATTAAGTTTTTGTTGTGTTGTGGTGTATCATGCAGATGGGGCTCGCCTTCTCGTCGTGGTTCTCGTGCGGAGTGACCGATTGTGTGAGGGTATGTATGTGAGACACGCATACACGACTGGACACCCACCCCGTGTGTGTATTGTCTGTCTCATGCAGACGGATCACTGCAAAGGAGACGTAGACGAGCTGCAGTGGTTCGTTCGCGACCACCTGCCATCGCCCTCGGGGGCGGTCTTCGCCGACACCATTCCCTCGTCCACCGATCCACTGGACCGCGAACTCCTTCTCTTCTCCCTCACGGCCAACACTGCCGCCTTCAGGTGGCTGCTGGACATGGGAGCCAACCCTAATGTGTGCGACAGCAAGGGCAGTTCGTGCCTGCACGCCGCTGCACGGTCGGGAGGATTGGGCGTCGTACGGGAGCTGGTGCTGAAAGGGGGGCGCGTGGGATAGATGGATGCTGCGGGCTGGACGCCGCTGCATGTGGCGGTATTCATGGCCAGGAGGAAAGTGGCGGTCTTCCTGATGCAGAATGGAGCGGCCCCTGACGTGTCTGACGTGTAAGCGCGCGCGTGAATTGATGGGCTGCATGTCATTGGCAATGGTTGTTGGTGACCTGTCTGTCTGTCTGTCTGTCTGTCTTTGGTTTGTGTCAGAATGACTCACCAACACCAAAGTGAGGAACAGCGCTTACACGATTGGCACCTCTGCTGCACATTTGTTGTGTGATGGGGCTCTTCGTTTGTCCCTCCCGCCCTTCAGCCCCCATCGACCTCTGCAGCGATGCAGGCATGATATCCACACAAAGGATACTGAGCGGACATTTCCTCACTTGTGTATGTCTCTGTCTCTGTCCCCTGTCTGTCTGTCTGTCTGTCTGCAGTCTTGAGGGATGCGCTGAGGAAATATCTGCAGTATGCGCGCAACGGCAACAAGCGGCACATGTTCAACTGGGAGGCGTCAATCGGCACACGTAGGAAGATGAGAGTGCAGAGAAAGAAACCACATTAATGGAAGCGCAAGTGCAGCCAGCAACTTCACCAGCTGTCCTTTGTCATCCATCATTGTGCAGTCCGCGATGCGGGTGGGGCTACACAGTCAGTGACATATGAGCCGTTCTTTGTCCCGAGGTGACCCACAGAGCCTCTCCCTTCCCTGCCTGTTCGTTTAGGCGCGTCATGTCTCGCTCTGTCTGTCAGGGCCGCTGCGGTGCGATCGCTGGACTCGAACATCAAAAACCGGCTCAGGCAGCTCGGTGTGGTGGGGGAGGGCAGGGTGGCGCGTAGGTTGACTCTCGTCTCCATCCATGGGAACTAACTCGATATGTGTCCAGGTGTCATCTTCTGCAATGTCAACCCGGGTGTCGGTTTGGCTTTTCTGGTTGCGACGGGCTGCGTGCGGGACTACCCCGTGGAGCTGGCGCAATTCTTCTTCAAATACGCGGTGAGCATGTGATGGAGAGCGGGTGAATGGGAGATTGATTGAGGTCGTTGCCGGTGTCACAGGTGTCACCCGAGGCTTTGGGTCACTTCCTCGGCGAAAACTACAGGTACACGGATGGCTGCCGTAGCTCCCTGTGTTTCCATTGCTGTCCATTTCCTCGTCTCAGCCTCTCCCAGATTTTGCGGCTTGAGTTCCTCAACCTCCTGTAAGTCAGTGAGTAGCCAGCATGATGCCAGGCAAACGAGTGTCCATTTGTTCTCCGCTTCAACATACAGGCTTGACCACGAGCCGTCGATGACATTGCCCGAGGTCATCCTGAGCACCTTCACCCGCGTTGCCGTCCTGCCCGCTTTCCAGGTGGGTGGCCAAGCCATCCATCGCATATCGCACGTGGAGGCCTCATGGGTGCTGGCTGGGACGGCTCGCAGGCACTCGACCGCATCATTCACGCTCTTGCGCACGTGTGGTGGAGGAAGGAGCGCATGCACACGGCCAAGAACGTACACACACACAGAGGCGGATAGATACGCCTACACAAATGTCTGAATGCAGTGCTGGTTGTCTCTCTGTGTGTCAGAGGGAAGAAGGTTCCGCGATGGATGGCCTGACGTTGGGTGCGCTGCAGCTGACGTCGATCGACGGCCTCTGCCAGCTGTTGTTCAACTGTGTGATGCTGGCGTGGGCGATGCAGAGGGCCACAGACAGCAGCTGCAGTGAGGACGATGTGCATGTGCCAGAGGTCGATGTCAACGCATGGGTACGTGAATGAGCAAGACAAAGGCGGAAAGCAAATGAGCACCTTTTCCTTTCATTTCTGTCATTTCTGCAGATGGCGCTGAATGCTGGTATGGATGACGGCGATGCCATCCCCTTGGCAACGCAGCAGCGGCTGTATCATGACATTGAGAGCATACACCACCGACTGCAGGTGGGTGACAGGAAATGCAACCAAACAGACACACCGAAGGAGAGAGAGGACACATACACATACTGAAAGGGCGGAAGGGCGGCCTGTGTGTCTCCTTTGCTGTATCCAGCTGCCGAAGACCTTCTTTGGCAACTGTCAATCGACTCTTCCCACCTCGCTGGACAACCACACCCAGTCGTACATCGACCGCTGCACCCTCCACAGCAGCACCATGCTGGCGCCCAACAACTCACCACTCCCATTTATGGGAGACTCCGTCCGCTCATCCCTGCAGGTGCGGATGGAGTCCTTTGGGGCCAACCACACCCACAGCGACAGGACACGAGACACGGATACCAATGAGCGCGGGACTGCTCTGCCGTCGTCACGATCGTCAAGTGGGAGACACGTCAGCGCAATGACAGCTGTGGGGGCCAAGCCGCCCGCCGGCAGGAGAGTGGAGAGAGGGAAGTCTGCACGGGGTGGGGGTGGTCTTCGGGAGCTGACTTTCACGCTTGTCCAGGGGGGTCTGTTGTTCATGTCGACCTGTGAGCGGTCAGTGGTGCCTGACGCCTTCGTCCACCTGCCCATGGTGGAGGTGGTGGACTGGAAGGAGAGCCAGAGGCTGTTCACTTTGGGAGGGAGACATGGTGCCAACCTTCAGGTGACAGACAACTGAGCCCTTACATCCATAAATAAATGGATCCATACGTGTCGACTGTGGGTTGTGAGTGGCCATGTTATGTTGGTGGCTGCAGATTGTCTATTTGCTGGAGGATGCGAGGTGGCAGGTGGTGGAGGTGCCCCGTGTGTGCCTCAAGGCGCAGTCAGACTGGTCATTCAATACCTGGATGCAACACCTGCACACAGTACAGACCAACGACTGACCGATTGACTGTGCATTGTATGTACATCGGCGTTCTCGCGCATGATTGTTGCCCAGATGTGATGACTTTTGACGTGTTTGTCAACATCTGTGCCTTCAGAGAATATGTTTGTGTCATGTGCGCACATGACTGACGGTACACACGCTACGCACCATCGAAGTCATCGATTCATGTCTATCTAAAGTAGCTGCCACTACCACTACACAACGGCCGCACTGACCAACTGGTGGACGCACTGTCGGCTCGCCCTATCTACAGCAGTGATGTCCACAACTCAGTGGCTCCATCCATCCATCCACACAGACAAACGACACCACACACACACACACACACAGTCCATCCATCCATCCATTGCTAATAATCCATACAGCACCCTTACACGTGCCATATGGCCTGCCTTACCGGTGTCGGATGCCGGCTGGTGGCCCGCCTCTCCGACAGCAGGCTGTGCGCGTGTGGATGGGAAGCACTGAGTGATCCTCGGCTGGTGGGCATCTAATGGAGGCGGCACGACCGTTACGATGGCCTCGCCGCCGACCGCAGCTGGCTCCTCAACCAATCCTGCCGCTGGACAGCAAACGCATCACACACACACAACAAATGCAGCACGCGTGTCCATTTGTCTAGCGTCTGCTGCTGGAACATCGTACCACCACTGCCGCCACGGGCAGCAGCACTTGATGGCGATGGCGTCAGGGACGGGAAGTAGTCACGAATTGAAGGCTGCCCACCCGACACACTACAGACGGGAATACAACACAGCACAACAAAACAATCTATCGCAGGTGGGTGTCGCCCGTTCTCCATCTGCTTTGCCCCCTTTCACGCACCTGGTCGGTTGGCGCTTGACGAACTCCATATTGACTTTCGTGTTCTCAAACCATTTGCCGCTGGTGGGCAACTTGACATTGACGTGGAAATCGTAGCCGGTCGGCGCGCGACTTGTGGGTCGCACCTCGGTGATGGTGTGCGGGAGGAGGCTCGGATGGTTGTAGCCCTCGGATGCATATACGCCAGGTGGGTCCTCAAAGTGGTCAAAGTGGAGCATCTGGTCCACTGGAGATGGATCGCTCTGAACGAATGGATACAGACGTGAGGGCAGGGCATCACGACCGACCTCATGAGGGCACCTTGCATACCTCCGGAGGCGGGAAGAGGTTGAAGGTAGAAGAGAGGGTAGTGGAGAAGGCTTTAAGGTAGTTGTGCAAACGACACTGCAGGTCCCGCACTTCCTGCGGCTGCAGCTCCTCAATAAGGAACGATAGATCTGCCACGCTCACTTGCAGTTCGTCTACCGTGACCTCACCCACATGCGGGTAGCGCCGCCTCCTCTCCCTCTGTGGCGGCAGCAGGCCACTCTGCACCATCCTCATCACGGGCCCCACCAGCTGCCGCTCTCCCGCGGAGTCGTAGCCCATACTGTCCAGGTGTAGCTGGGGCAGGGTCCTCTTCTCGTCATGCTGGCTGGTGCCGCATGGGTACCACGCCAGGATCTCTGGGAGCAGCCACACGGCCACCCAAGTCATGGCCAGCTTCTTGCACGAGGGGAGGGCCCGGAGGGTGCGGGTCAGGTTGTTGGGAGAGGGAGGGGGGCTGCATGTCCTCCAATCGGTGGTGTTGTCGCCGAGGCGATACAGGGTGACAGCTGACAAGCACAGCATACATTCAAGGATCGTTGATGTCGGCTTATGTGGTGTGTTGCTCACTTTCGACGTTGGGCAGCGCGCCGTCGTTGGCGAGGCAGGCAGGGATGGACTCAAAGGTGATGTCATCGGCCTCTCCATCACACGGTGACTGGTCGATCTCCAGATCCTTGGCGTCGCTGAACTCCAGCCCCTGCAGACTCTCGTGCTGTGCGAGCAGCGACGTCCCGTCCTTGGCGATCATCAACCTCAGCCGGTCCCCGCCCCGCACATGGCGCGCCAGGAAGGAAGCGATCTCGTCAATCGGCTTGGCCGGCCGTCTCGGCGTGCCGTTTTTCTCCTTCTTGTTGATGTTGTCGAGGCTCTCCGTGCAGTTGATGCAGGTGATGCCGCCACTCCTTGTCACGGTCCAGCCGTTCTCTCGGCGAAGGAGAGGAGGCGTAGTGGCCGGGGACTCCTCACGCTGTTTGTGGGGCTCGCCAGGACGGTGGGCAGGCTGAGGTCGATCAGGATGGGCGTTTCGACCACCATGGTGCGCTCCACTCGGTCGTCCCCGTGCCGCTGCTTGATGTCTTTGATGAAGGAGACCACGTCCTCAGACGCATCCCACCCCGTCTCCGGCCAGCTGTGGTGCCAGTCGTTCAATCCCAATGGCCCGTCCCAGTTGTCGAGGTCTAAGTGAATGTTGCCGACATAGGTCAGGTTGAGACCCTCCAACTCCCCCAGCATGCTTGGCCACAGGGTATCGACGTCCACGTGCTGGAGCGTGGGATGGCGGCTGCAGAATGACGAGAATGTCGCATCCAGGTTGCGGCGGGGGAAGGTGAGTGGTCTCGCCGTGAGGAAGGTCATCTTGGGGCACCACAACTCGAGGCTCTCGAAGATCGAGAAGGCCGCCACGCTGTTGACGTTGAGGGCCTCCAGTCGTGGCATTGCCTTGTCGTTCGACGGCCCCTCGCCCGGCCTGTCGACGGGCAGCCGGGCCGTCTCCTCGCCAGTCCGATGCCGTTTGTCGATCTTGTGCGTGACGTCCACGATGAAGAGCTCCTTCAGCACGGCCGCACGAAGGCTCAGCCGACGCCGACAGAATGCCGCCAGCTGCCGCAACACGTCCTTGGCGACCTTGTCCATCTCTCTTGGCAGGAGGACGACAGCCTGGCTCACCAGATCACGGTGGCCCTGCACCACGCTGCCATGGTCTGGATTGGCGAAGTTGACGATGGTGATGAAGGTGTAGATGGCATTGTAGAGGGCGTGGCAGAGAGCGGCCATCCGCCATGTATCCTTCATGGCGAGCATGTCGATGAGGTGCCAGAAGAGGCCCGGCACACATGCGAGCCGTTGAATGAGGAGGAATGGGGACGGGCTGGGAGGGGCGGGAGGTGGCGGGGTGGGCTTCTGGCTCGTAAGCTGGCCATCAACGACACCGCCAGCATCTGAAAGAGCCACAAATGAATGCGTCAGTGAGACAAATGCATCATGGACCACGAGCCCTTCTCTCCCGGCTCACCATCAGCTGCGGTATTGGTCTCCACTTGACTTTTCTCGAGTCTGCCGTTGAGCCCATGCGAAGCTACACGCAACTCCACGCCCTGCCAAGAAAGCCAACGATAACAAATCAACAACAGATGATCGACTCACGAAGCATGTGTGTCAAGTGTCAAGTACCTGTTGTGGATGCTGCTGCAGGTAATCAGCCAGGTGATGAAAGGCCGACACGACGACATCCATCTCGTATCCGCTACGATGGCTGCTGAAGGCACCACTGACATCGGACGGCACTCGCCCCAGGTCAAGTGCTTGTGCGATGCTGTTGAGGTCGGGCGGGGAATCGAAGGGACACACTGGCGGAGGGTGCGACCGTTTGCCGTGGTAGAAGGCGGCCAGCGCCTTGAGTGCATCGACGTACGAGGAAACTGCAAACACGACACGAATGACAGCACACGCGAGGATGTTGCCAGATGGGGCGCATCCATGTGTGGGTGCGGTGCGCACTTTGTTGATTTGCGTCGTCCGTGGTGGTGAGGGCCTGACTGGCCGGCGTGATGGTGTTGATCAGATCTGCCAGCGCCTTGCAGTTGATGTCACGCCCGGTGAACACACTTGGACGTATCTCACCGCACTGATGATAAGAAACAGGGAGCAGGAGTCGGTTACTTTGTGTCGTATGTGATGTATTCATCGCTCCCTCTTACCCGGTCGTGGAGATGGCTGAAATACGCCCTGGTGATTGCATCGAGCTTTTTGCCAACGCCCATGTCTTGCGGACCACCAATGGGTGATGCTACGACCTTTGAGGTGGCCCACGCCCAGATGATGCAGAGGTCCCGAACGCACTGGCCGATGTCAAACCTGCTCTGATCCACACCGAGCGAACTCACCTGAGTGACAAACAGAGGCAATGTTATGGTCCTGGTGCTGCTGCCCTCATACCGTGCTCACCTGTGCCTGTACGTGGTCGTAGAGGGCATCTCGCAGCCGGTTGATGTGGACTACTTCCAAGGCACCGCTGGCCTGACAAGATGGAAATCAGGAAGAACGGCATCTTTTCTGCCTGCGTGAGTCTGTGTGCGTGTACATTACATGTGTTGTGTGTACCTGCTGCAGTGTCCGAAGAATATATATATGTGCCGCTGTTGGTCTTACTGCGCGAGCCAGGCTGAGCAGCATGGCGTCGCTGCCAACGCCACACGCCCAATACACGCGACACACATGCCTGGCCGCCACACACAATAAGCCACGTCAATTGCACCCTCACTCCGACGTTCTCGGTTGCTTACTGGTTGTTGTACTTCTGCTGTCGTCGTAAGAATCTGACGATGGCTGCGTTGATGTCCTCAGGTGACGGACACGGCAGGAGCAGCACCACCAGGTCCGGACACCGACGCGCCAACGCGAGTGCGTAACTCCTGCACATCGACATGCACCCACAGGTCAGGTTTGCCGGCCAGGGAGATCATTGCGTGACGGGCTGGTTCTTCTCTTCTGTTCCGTACCTGACTCTACCTTCTACTTGTGCACGGCTGTCCGGCTGTTGGCTCGCCGGTTTCTCTGAAGAGGAATGAATCAAGGCAAGGAGAGCCAAGGTCGGCCGTGCAGTGCGGTGTGTTGTGTGCCTTCTTGCTTTGATCTGTCACCAAATGCGAGGAGAACGAACGACTTTGGCAGCACGGCAGCAACCAACCTGATGTAAGCAATGCGCAGCATAAGGGCAGCCATGCGATGCGATGCGATGCGTGCATATTTGCAAAGGCGTGATCATCTCCCTCCCTCCCTCCCTGCCTACCTGTCGATTCTGATCTCCATCTCTCCTATGTGGCCACCCGATGACCCAGCGCCACTCTGCAAAACGGCAAAGACAGCTGCAGAGGCCAGCTGCATTGCCGTGGACACACATGCGCTTGCCTGTGGCTGGGCCATGTCTTCGATAATGTCCTTGACGTTCACTATCAGCCCATCTGCAGCCGAACGCATTGATCCAACCCTCTCAGCCAGTAGCTCTGCCACACACAACACAACACAACACAACACAACACAACACAGAGCACACGATGCAGTCCATCCACCCACCCATCGACGAGAGGCGTTGGTATGTGCCCACCGGTGCAGCCGGGGTATTTGTCCAGCAGCCAGCTGTCGAGGCTCGCACGGCTGCACCTGGTCATCATCACGCCCAAGCTCAGCCACTTGGCAGCGATGGATGACGCCTTCACACCACAGATGGCGCGCAACACATGACGTGAACCGAACGGCCTGTGCATTGGGCACACAGACAGACACAAAGACAGGTGTTCGATCTCCTTTCGGTCCCTCTCGTGCCAGCCATACTTACGTGTCTGATTCGCTGCTGGGGATGAGTGTGTGGTCAGGTGGGTGCGGCAGCAGCACCCTCAGGCCATTGGCAACGCCGCCATGCTCGAGAAACAACCTCTGCACTCACATCACCGGCACAACAACAACAACAACAACAATGGTGAGATGGCTGAAGGTGCGGGTTCCTCTCTCTCTTACCACAATTCTGATCACAACCTCCTCGAGCGTCATATGCAGCCCGTCCAGTTGGGCGAAGTGCTCACAGGAGCCCGCGATGCGCCTGATCCACAGCCTGCCATCGTGGATGAGGCCGTCCCGAAAGTTCGAGCAAAACGCGTCGTCATCAGACAGCAGCCACCGGATGTGACCTGCGCAGCAATAAATGAAGCACAAGCAAGGCCAGATCCACCGTGAGTGAGGTGTGTCTGAGGTGTGTGAGGTCGCATCTTCCCATGGATCTCACCGAGCAGATCTGGGGCTTTTCGAAGTTTTTCTGACACAGCGGGGCTGATGAGAACCACAGGCAGCGCCAGGCGCTGCGAACCATCCATCGCCACAACCAGCGCCTTCTTTTCTTAGCTCGCGTCTTCCTGGCCGCAGCGCTTTTTTCTTTGTGTGTAGCGACGTCATGGCAGGGATGGCGCGGTATGAGAGAGAGCCGTTGGCACCTTTGCGTGAGGGTCGGACCTTCAACAAGGTCCATCGCACTCAGGCCGGCAGCAGCACTCTCCGCGCCAGGATCCTCCAACTCGCTGAGAACGGTAGGTACACACACCATCATGGCAGACGCACACATCACAATGGGCGGTGGGGCAATCCATCCAGCCGATGGCCTGCCTTTCTGCCGTTCAGACGCGATATTGACGTGGAAGAAGACGCGCCTGGCGCAGACGCCGCCGTCAACAGGATGGAGTAAGGTGGCACCGATGACCGCACCGCATGGCGCCACAGATCCACCCCTGGATCTGGCTGGATCTACCGTTTTGTCCATTGGTTTGCTCTCATTCCCTCCTTGCCTGCAGTCAGCGTCGCGTCGATCGTGGCGGTGCGGCCCGGCAACTCGTGGGTGAGAGCCCAGCAGGAGCAGCAGGACGCCCCGGCATACGCGGCAGGTCCAGTGGGGAGCAAGAACGACAAGGGCCTCACCATCGAATACGTCGCCGCAGACAGGACACGCACCATCGAAATCTGCTCTGACGACAGCGTGAGCACACAGAGCGACCACACGAAGCAATCCGCGGAGGTGTTTGGTGTGATGTGGTGTGGTGTGGTGGTCAGAATGCGTTGCGGGAGTGGGAGGCCGGTCTGAACATCCTCATTCGCAAACACCACGGCAACGCCATACCGCCGCGACCACCACATCCCTCACAAGCACGTAAGAAACGACGAAGCGATGACTTGCGTAAGACGCACTTCAACCAACACGTTCTGTTGTCATCTCTTTTTGCCAGCCGCCCTGTTTCCCATGGACAGCGTGGCGTCGAGCACCATGGACGGGGTCGCCATCGACACACCATACACCCACAACCACCAGCAGCAGCCGTATCCCCACCCTGCGGCGCAGTCCATCCAGCCGCCCATCCCCAAACACCCGGCGGCCAGCACATCGCCGCTGGGCAACGGAGGTGTGCACACAGGGGGCCAGGGAGGGGGAATGGGGAGTGCGGGTGCAGTAGCTGTAGGTCCGGGTGCAGAGGAGGCCGCTGGTGGGGCGAGTGGGGGTGGTGCGGTTCGTGGGCGTCGTCGCAGTTCGGGCAACGACACCATTGTAATCGTCACGGCCATCAAAGATTTCGTTTCGGTACGCACGGACGGGGCAAAGAGGAAGGGTCTACGCCACATCGTGTGGAGTGTGTGTTGTGATGTGTGTGTTGTGATGTGTGTGTTTGGCCACTTAGAGTGATAGCCGTCAGTTGTCGTTTCGCCGTGGCGACCGTATCGATGTGGTGGAGGTGCACCCGTCGGGCTGGTGGGGCGGACGCATCGCAGACAAGGTATCTATGGAGGGTGCATGCCACATACATCTCTGGACATCTGCGCACCGCTCTTGTGTGTCTGTATATTTGATGCAGACGGGCTGGTTCCCCCATGTGTTCACCAAGAAGCCAGCAGGCTTTGACGACAGCCAATACCTGACGCAACCCCAACAAAACGACGCGTGAGTGAGGACGGGAGATGACATCCACACCTCAGAGATGGACACACACCACACGCTCCCCGTCTGTGTGTCGCATGCATCCATCTCCCCAGGGCCTCCAGTGGCAGCGGTTCGCGAGTGGTGGGGGTGACTGGTGCTGCAGGGACGCCCTGCCGCCAGGATGAGGACAAAGGCGCCGACACGGCTGCATCAGCGCCGCAACAGCAGCAGACCCCTCCAGTATGTGCACAACACAAGAGAACACATCTACAGGCGATTCTTGCCATGTGTGTGCTGTCCTTTTGGCCGTTGGTGTTTGTCTCTCCTCAGGTTCGTGCACAGGGGTGTGGCGGTGCTGGCGGTGGCAGCCCCAGCACGGTGTTCCCCGGTCTGACTGCCAAAGACACCCGCCCCAACCCACTGCAACAGCAACAGCAGCAGGAGCCCAAACAGGCTGGACAGAAGCCACACCAAACATCAGAAAGGGTACTCTCGCCACTCAACACACTACACACGCACACAGTTCCACCGCCTTTGTGCCTCTCTTCCTCCTCAGGATGGCGACCATCCCTCTAGTGGCTCCGCTCGCGGCAGCCAGGCCTCCAATGTCTTCACCTTCGCCCCCCGCTCGTCAGCCATCAACCAGGACCAACAGCCCGCCCCACACTCACACACACACCCGAGCAGCAGCAAGACCAGCACCGAGCCAGCAGCCCCAGACAAGGAGGGCCGCTCGATGAAGCGCCCCATCGGCGAGGGCGATGAGGTGCGCGCCAAGCGCCAGTCTGACGGCCGGCGGTCGACCCACCCGCCCCGGCACCTGCTCAACGACGAGGGCCAGGAGGGCCCTGGGGTGTTGGGTGAGGAGTGGGGGAAGCCCAACCCCGACGCACACGGGGAGTTCTCCGCCAACTTCGAGGCGTCTTCACAGCAAGGGAAAGGGAAGCGCATGATGGTGTCTCGTGTGGTCAAGGAGGGGAGGGAGGGCGAGCTGGTGGGCGAGGGGGGTGGGGGTGAGGAGGAGCCGCGGGAGGTGGACGGCATATTCCACTTCCGGGCTGAGGGGCGCATAGAGAAAGTCGACCTGCACAAGGAGACGGTCAGCGAACAGACGGGGGCATTGTTGTGGTGGACATCTTCGTATCGTTTATTGTTTGCAGAAGGGGTCTCTCTTTGAGAAGTACAAGTTGCTGGCCAAGGACTACGAGACCAACTCATCTGAAAAAACCGAAAACCTCAAGGCAAGACAGACTGAGAGACCCTACCCCCACAGCACAGATCATTCTCTGTATTCTTCTGTGTGTATGCAGGCGTTGAACGAGTTGCGTGAGGGTCTGGGCAGCCGCGACACCAAGATAGCCGAACTGGAAGCCGAAATCCGAAAGCTACGGTACGCAATCAACAGAGGATGGCCAAACACCATCCACAGACATGTCTGTGATGATGGTATGTCTGTGTGGATGTGTGGGCAGTAGCGAGAAGGGCATCTGGTCGGGTAGCCGCTATGGCGACGGCAGCCGGACGGCCCGACCGGAGGTGGCGTCAGCTGCCCATGACCAGCAGCAGCAGCAGCAACAATACATACTCTTCGGGGCCAACCCACAAGCAGAGGTACGTCAGCACACAAGAGTCAGCGAGAGATTGTGCCGCCTATGCATTGGTGTGGTGTTGGGTGTGTCATTCAGGCTGCGTTTCAGCGTGTGTTGGAGGTCGAGAAGAAGAAGATCATAGACGAGGACAAACGCCGACTCGACGCCGTCAAGAGCACCATGCAGGACAAGGTACCTTTACACACACATAGACACACGACCACCCCCACCCCCACACACCCTCCTGTGTCTCCGTGTGTGGTCTGTCTGTCTGTGCTGTGTGTGCAGATAGATGCGTTGGAGTGTGAGAAGAAACACTACCAGGACTACCTGCGATCCATAGACCCGTGCGCACAACATCACACAGCACACCAACCGCCCTGCACAGCTTTATGCATATCCGCATGTGTGCCCTTGTGTGTGTTGTGTGGTGGTCAGTTCGATGGACGAGCTCAAGTTGGGTCACATAGCAGCCGGTGAGGCCGCCAAGGGCGGCACACTCCCCAACTTCGCACACCTGCGGGCCTCATTCGACGACAAGGCCACCACCAAGGAAGTACAAAGAGAACTTGACCGTTCACGGTAGGGAGACACATGGTTGCAACACACCTCCACCCATCCACTCACACACCTGATATCACGTCATTTTGTGTTGTCCATCAATCCGTCAGGAATGAGATCCATCGGCTGCAGCGTGAGCTGGAGAGCGAGCGCCAGAAGGCCGCAGCACAGCTCATTCGGTTCAGGCAGCAGCAGGGGGGCGACCACCCCCAGCAGTCCATCACGGCCCCCCTGGCCCGCCAAGGCAGCCCCTTCACCACACCCATACCCCATATAGAGGCCCACCTGCCCATCAAACGCACCCATCTCGGCGGCCACCATGACTACGGCACTCCCTCACCTGTCATGCACCGCGAGGAGGTCAGCTCGGCGTCGGCGGCTGTGCGTGTGGGCAGGTCGGCAGTGGACGTGGGCGAGGGGCGCCAGGCCGCAGAGGACATCGACCAACACGACAGACAGGACGACATGTACAAGACGCCAGGTGACTGACTGACTGACTGAGTGGATGAATGAATGAATGAAGACAGACACTCGGCCGGACTCTTTCTGTGGGTCTCTTGCTGTTGCCTGTTACATGCAGCGTTGTTGCTCAAGCCGGACCATCCAGACTCCCCCTCCCCTGACAACGGCAGCCGTCCCCTGGGCAGCCGCCCCGCCATGATAGACATGAAGGAGCCCGCCAGCCCAGCCGGGCCAGGATGCGCCGCGGGCGCACTCGACATCGACGAGGGGCCCAAGTCATCGGTTTTCGAGCTCGCCAAGAAGTTCGGCACATCCCCCCCGTCGACCAGCCGGCTGCCCGTGTCGTCATCTGTGGTGCAGAAGGGCAACAACGACAAGGGCGGGGCGGCGCTGCGGGACGTCTCCCCTCGTGTGGGCCACGGGGTTGGCATCTTCGCCACCACCGGCCAGCACCAGCAGCACCAGCAGCAGCGTCGGTTGATGGGCGGTATCTTCACGGCCGGCCGCAAGAGCATCGACAAGAAGACCCCCCCGGCCAGCAAGGGCCTGATGGGCGGCCTGCTGTTCGGCAAGCGCAAGCACGCCACGCAAGAGGACGCCAAGGCACCCGGCGCCACGACGCAGGAGGAGGACCACGGCAACCGACATCATGGGCAGCACAACCACATCAACATGAGCGAGGCGGGCCGCATGTCCATCCACCAGCACGGAGAGCAGCAGGGAGAGCAGCAGCAGGGAGAGCAGCATCAGGAGGATGACGACAACCAGGAGGAGCCGGCCCCCGAGGGCCAGCTCGAGGGCGACACACAGCAGGGTGAGGGGGGAGCAACGGGTGCAGCAGCGGCAGTAGATGGGGGCAGTGGTGACGGCAAGGCGCCTCGCAAGTCGGTAGAGCAGCTCAAGGAGGGGCCCTCGGTGCTCAGCAGGGCCGCACGATTCGAGAAGAAATGAATGTGGCAGGGGGGTAGGTGGGATAGGGTGGGGAGGGTAGTGCACGTCTCGGGTGTTTGCATGTCTGTGCCTCTGTGCAATTCACAGAAAGATAGCGAATCGTGTGTGGGTGAGTGTGCCGTTATAAAGGGGGCGGGTGGGACTGGATGGATGGCTGGATGGATGGATGGCTGGATGGATGGATGGCTGGATGGACGGATGGATTAGCAGCGTGGCGGGGGATTTCCGCATCGTGAAGATGCTTAGCGTAGAACAAGGGTCTCTCTGTCTGCGCCAACTTGCCTTGACCGTCTACTCAACCAAACCAGACCATCTCTGTCGCTACCTACGGCACGATGCAGCATTCACACACACGGTGTGGCTGGCCAGATGGATGGATGGATGGATGATAGCACACAGGGGAGGTTGGGAATAGGATAGCCGACTGCTACATGGATACATGGGTACATGGGTACATCGGTGAGGGAGACACTTAGTGACACCAGGGCTGCCTGACGGACAAACGGAACAGGTCATGACATCAACAACACATTCGAAGGGAACGTCGTTGCGCAGTGCACGAAAATATGGCACCAACACGTCAGATATGTCACTCACAGACGGTCTTGTGTTGTGGTAATGTACACCCAGCGAGCGAGCCAGCCATCTCTCTCTTGTCAGAAGCCCTCGGTGTTGCTGATCCGTCGGCATCCCGCGGGAGACTTCACACGTCCTCAGCAGGACACAGACAGAGCCAAAACAAGAGGCCACCGACAGAGAAGAAAGGGCAACAGGCGTCCGCACCAGTATCCGTACATCCATCCATCCATCCATCCCTCCATCCATCCATGTCCTTGTATCCAGACCCATTGTCTTAGTATGGACTCAACGCCATTCCATCTCATATCACGACCAGAGCCATGCAGTGCGTGTCAGCTCCGCATGGTACCACGCACTGTTCCACGCCAGCACAGACCCGCACTCCACGACTGTGATGAGCGGATGAACGGCAAAACATAAACCCCCCCAACAATCAGCAAAGAGAACAACGCTCCACCACCTCCCGCCACCACGCAACCAAGCTAGCTGGGTGGTTTGTAGGGTCCCGTGGTGGGGACGTCTTTGCCCCTGTCCGACCTCTGCGGCCCCGCGTATCTGGCCCTGGCGTCCTCCACACGCACGTCGGTCAGGGCGGCCGTCGCCTCGCCCGGCGGGGGGGTGCCCTCCTCACCAGGCAGCGTCGGCAGCAGCTCAGACATGCGCTCGCCGCCACCCGTGGGTGCGAAGCCCTTGGCCGCCACAGTGCCGCGCGCCATCAGCCGCTGCACGTTACGACGCCAAGGGGTCACATCCAACTGAAGAGTGTTAACAACACAGAACAACAGAGAGACAAAGCAGGCAGAGGTGTAAGTAAGGGTTTGTCCGTCCGTGTGTGGTGGGCGTGGCGTACGTATGGGTGTGCTTGCTCGGGTGCTCCGTCGATTTTGGTTTTGGGCCGCACGCGCAGCCCCGCCCATGCGAATGGCTTCGTGGGGTCGGGCGGCATCTGCGTCTCGTCCTCGGGGACCTTGCCTGTCGGGTTCAAATCGTAATGGTCACCTGAACACACATACACACACGAACGAGATGCGCCCACGCATCCATGTCCCTCCCTCCCTCCCTCCCTCCCTCCCTCCGTCCCTCCCTGTGTGCCTTGAAAACTCACCCGCCAAGAGAGTTGGCAGCGGTAGTCTCCATGCGTTTCGGTCGACGCCCATCCAGAAGAGGTCGTCTCTGTGTCGCGTCTGGTGTTTGGGGTTCTTTTTGCCGTAGCTGATGTTCTTCTTGAGCAGGGCGGGGTTGCGGCCCAGCTGCCTCGATGACGAGAACATCTTGACGTCGTCAGGGATGGCATGCTCGAAGTTCACTATCGCCTTCTTGTGCAGAGGGCCCCGCCTGTAGTAACCCACTGCACCCACCCGCCAGACACACAAAGCCAACACGCACCCAGGCAGTCTCACTGAGAGGGCCCTCCCCGGCCGTGTTTGCGCTTGGCTTACAGGTCTTGTGCATGTAGTTTCTGGTCCTCTGTGGCTGGCGGACGAGTGTGTTGACCTTGAGGACCTTTGCTCCGTAGAGTTTCTTGAGGTACTCGCGGATCTCATACTTGGTGAAGTTGAGGGGCACCTTGAGGGCCAGCCTGTTCCTCTCCAGAAACACACCCGTCAGGTGGATGTAGCAGTTCTGCCAAGGGAAATACACATTCCTAAACACACACCAGACAGACAGACAGCACGGGAGTGCAGCTGCAGTTTTCTCGCGATTGTGTGAGCTCTGACCGAGGCGCCTTTGGTGGCCCGAGCAGCGGCCGTGAGCTGAACATCGCACCAGGTCCCCCGTAGCCGACGGCCGCTCACACACAAGAGGTGGAGCAGAGGTGACAGATCAGCGGCAGATCTTCACGTGCACGAGCACGTGCATACCACACGGCACCCTTTGCGTCAAAAACAAACGAAAGCGCTCAGCCTCATTTCGCGAGCTCAAGCTCGCCCCTGAGAGATCTGGAGGAAAAGCCGATGAGAAGGCTGTGCGTGTAGCGCACTGATGGTCGCCTTGTGTGACGTGATGTATGTTGAGTCAGATGTGTTGAACCGATAGATATTCATTGCTCTCCCAGAATGAGTGAGTCTGACGCCGGTGAAGGGGCGTCTGTGCTGGACCAGCTGGACCTCGACGGGGAGGTCAACGAGGTCACAGTCAGATTTGAGGGACTCAGAAGAGTCGGTAGGTAATAAGCGACGCACACTAACCATCACACACACATAGACCGTATCGCTTGGCTGCTGCTGATCTGATCTGCATGCCTCTGTCTGTCTGTCTGTCTGGGTGTGCAGATTCCAAGGTTCTCTACTCGGAGTGCCATCCCATCTTCGAGGCACGCACCGTCGGAGAGCTCCTCGCCAAGGTCGTACAGGCCCAAAACGTAGGTAGCCATGGACACACACACACACACACACACACACACATCCCATCGATGGCTCACCTAACTAGCCCACGCCCCTTGTGTTGTGTGTGTATGCTGTGTGGTGTGCAGACGTTCAATTCCTTTGGCTTGTTTCGCCGTCAGTCTGTGGAGCTGTCGACGCCCCAGGGTGGTGCCCGGGGCGACGTCGAGGTGACATTCCATGTGGAGGAGCAGAAGTACGACATTGCCGTGGGCGTGCAGATGGACCACCGGCGGAAGCCCACCATGGAGCTCACCGCCACCATACCCAGTGTCTTCAGCACCCTCCAGTCCTTCTCACTCAAGTCGTCTTACACCAACAGCAAGAGCCACGAGATACTCGTAACCCGACGGATAGATGCACCACACAGCAAACAGATGTGTGTGTGTGTGTGTGTGGGGGGGGGGGGGGG